GCGACGAACATGAGGGTGCAAGCAGACATGCAAATATTTAAAATAGGTATTATAGCTCTTTGAAAGGATCACCAACAGCAGAAAGCTTGAGACAGTTTCATTAGAATAATCAGAAATTTACTCTTAGCAGCTACCAGCTGGTCCAATGAATATAAGGCATAAAAGTGGAAGGCTTGCAGAATTATCTCGTGATCACTGCTCCCTTCAAGTTCTCAGCTTCCTCATGTTCACTCATGATATGTTTTGAAGTCCAGCAGACCTGGACCCTATAGCATGGCTTCTCCACTGGGAACTTGAGTGTGAGGTACTGTCTGGACATAGACTGTCTCTCACTGTATCTGGCTTCTTTCTGCTTCCTCCCTCAAGGAACAGCCTCTGGCCAAGGCTGGTCTCTACAGGATATGCACATTCCCGGTAATAAGTCATGGGGTACAGGTGATTGGGCAATGTTGAAAGCAATGTAGGCATCACCCTTAATCAATGTAAATGTAAACACCATACAGCAATAATTAACTTGCTTGACTATAAAACTGCTTGCTGTACTATCCTGAGGTATGGATTCTTCACTGGCCAGCTGCCATCGGTGACTCGCATAAGTTCTAATAAACCAGTCTTTCTCTGCTGGACCTTAGGCTGACTTCTTTGGAATAGGCAAGCATTATGCGAAGCCCTCTTAGATTTGGGGTTCCAGCATTACACTGGAGCTAGTTACCTAACCTGTCTCAGTTTCATTTGCAAAATTAGACACCTATAACCACGTTTTGTTTTAGAAAGTACTTAAGACATAAATGGTGTAATAACTCAGGATAAATAAGATCTGAGTTACCTAGCACTGTACTCAGCACATAAGCCCTTGATTCACGTGTAAACAAAAACGAATTGTTTTAATATGAGTACTACAATTCGACATCACATATGAATAACATTTAATATTTTTCAAGGTAGTTCCAGTCATTATTTCCTGACCTCCTTACAACAATCAGATATATGAGTGGGAGGAAAGGTCTATCGGCCCACTTCACAAATCAGTACCATTAGCATTTGCTGTGCACCTACTGTGGGTAGGGGCCTGGGCTAGGAATTGAGACAGACATATCAGACACATTCGATGTTCAGAATGGTTTAGTGGCTGTCCCTTTCTATATGATCACACAGTAAATCCCTGGGAGTTCAAGAAAGAACCCACGTTCCTGGTTTTGTGTTTCCCCATGATACTGTGCTCCTTACTGACTAGATAAAGTCTACTTCTGGGGCCATCATGAGGCATGACAACTTTAAAGAGGCATGAGGGATGGAGAGCCAGGTAAAACTACACTTCCACTGCTTACTGCAGGATGACTTTGTGGTCACTTGGAAATCACATTTGTAATTTACACAATGGAATAATACATAGCAGTTAAAATAAATACAATCCATGACATGCAATGACATGACTATCACTTAGCATTAGATTAAGGAAATTCCAGAGATTATATAACATAAGACCCACTTAATAATGAATAAAAATTATCTGGAAAACTATATAAACAGAAGGCAAGGGGACAATAAAGGGTTTTGGGATGATGGCTACCTCTGGTGGGCAGGGAGGGTGGGGGGACCATATGGTTGTTAGTACATTATTGTCAAGGTCTTAGTTTTCACATTTGCAGTGCTTATTACATTACAGAAAGAAGTAAATAAAGAGAGAGAAAAAGGGAAGGGAGGGAGAGAGGGAAGGAAAAAGAAAGGAAGGAAGAAAAGGAAGAGAAAGAAAACAAAGTATGTGGGAGAGCTGTAGTGGAACAATGATTTTTCCAGAGGAAAAGAGAACAATTGATATCAAAATTTAAAGGGGGCTGGCCTGAGTCCCTGAGTCCGGGAGGTCAAGGCTGTGGTGAGCCATGATTGTGCCACTGCTCTCCAGCCTGGGTGATAGAGTGAGACTCCGATTCAAAAAATAAAAAATAAATGAGATTCTTTATGACTTTGGAGAATGTGGTCAAAGTCAGTACCTTGTAATGTCACTTTAGGTGTTTAGCTTGCCGTTGAGTAAAGTCGATTCTACATGTATTTGAACTTCTTGCTTCTCTCTAAGTACCACTGTTCTGGCCAGCTTTACGATATTTCTCCTGGCGGTAATAGGAAGACTGGAAAAATTCTCTGGATGTGGGTAAAATTCCTGGACTTTTCCCCAGGCCTCACCATTACACAGTAATAAGTTTATTTCCCTAGACCTAGGAAGCTGAGACTCAGGTATACTTACAAATGTTTAAACAGCCACCCAAATCCACTCATGTAATTCAAATGCATAAAGCTAAGAGAACTTCATTTGTCCAACAAAGATTTACTGCATTCAGTGTCTTTTATATGCTGAGCACTGTGTTCTAATCTAAGCACTAGCCACAGATAAGAACAGTGATCCTGGAATGGGAAGGGTTCCAGGACATAATAGTGGTTAAGACTCTGGACATTAAAGTTGGGCGCTTAGGTTTAAATCCTGGCTCTTCCAGGGGCGAGTTGCTTGATTTCTCGAAGCTTCCATGCCTGTGTCTTTGAGTTGGGATCTACACAGCAAGATTGCTTGAGATTAACCATTTAAAATATGTGACACTGTTTAACATAGGACCTCACACACAGCAAGCACTTGTATAGTTCAAATGCATGACGTTCTTTTAACTAATACTCAATGAGTGTTAGCATTGATTTATTGCTTGGTAATGCACTCATTCACCAAATAACTTAAGCCAAAATTGTGAGGGCATACTTGGTCAACACCTGACTATATCCTTCAGTACGATGTTTACTCAACTTTCTCTCCTAAATATTTTGTTTGTTTGTTTTTTGAGTTGGAGTCTCACTCCGTCACCCAGGCTGGAGTGCAGTGGCATGCTCACAGCCACTGCAGCCTTGACCTGCTGGGCTCAGGTGATCCTTCTGCCTCAGCCTTCCAAGTAGCTGGAATACAGACGCACGCCACCATGTCTGGCTAGTTTTTGTGATTTATTGTACAGACGAGGTCTTGCCAAGTTGCCTAGGCTGGTCTTGAACTTGTAGGCTCAGGCAATCCTCTTGCCTCGGCCTCCCAAAGTACTGAAATTACAGGCTGAGCCACCGAGCCTGGCTCTCCTAAATATTTAAGTAGTTTTTCTTTCTTTCTTTTTTTTTTTAATTCTCTTCTGCCATCATCTCAGCTATGGCTGACATTTCTAGGATTGATGATCAAACTTACTTGTTAAATGGCTCCCTGTCTCCAGCTTTCTTCTCTTATATGCTTTTCTACCCTCTGTCAATAACTTCTGCTTCTTTCTGCGAGGTCTCAGGCATGTTTGCTATGGCCCGTACTGATTGCCCTGGATTCACACATCACTATTGTGATGTAATGGCTACTACTCTTGTCTAGACTAGTAACTCCAACTGTTTTTACCTCATTTATCTCACATCAGTCAAGGTATCTCATGTTTGGTCCCATTTAAAGATAACATGAGGGATTCTTTAAATGCACAGTTTTGCCACCCCAGGGGAAAAAGAAACCTTAGAGATTTGATTCCACATACCCATTCTGGGAAAGTAGTATTTAGCAGGAAGCAACTACAATTCATGCTTGCCACTCAGACAGGAAGTGGTTAGGTTAACTGTTCAGCAGACGTTTTCTATGGGCTGAAATAATTTATCAGGCATTGCTACTCCTATGGCTTGATCACAAATAGAAAGGGAAGGACAGGGCCACATACATCCTTATTTTTATTCCTTTCTTTAAGAAGAGCATGAACAATAGACACATTGAGGCAACAACAGCTTTTATAACAAAAATGTATTTTAAAGTATCATTAGTTGTTGATACCAGGCCCCAAATGATGTTGGTAGACACTAAAAAGAGACAAATTATCTTTAACAAAGGCAATAATTTATTATCTCACTTTATATGTAATGGTTTATAACTGTACACAGATTCTGAATTTGCAAGCAGAAATATAATCTGGATAGTATTAAAAGATCCTTAATACCATTTTAAATTTCATTTATAAAGTACTACGTTAAGAATGAGATGCTCAGCCGGGCTCAGTGGCTCAGCCTGTAATCCCACGCCTTTGGGAGGCTGAGGTGAGTGGATTGCCTGAGCCCGCGGGTTCAAGACCCGCCTGGGGCAGCGAGACTTCATCTCTACAATAAATCAAAAAATCAGCCGGGCGTGGTAGTGCATGCCTGTAATTCTGGCTACTTGGAAGGCTGAGGCGAAAGGATCGCTGGAGCCCAGCAGGTCGAGGCTGCGGTGGCCGGGAGCGGCCACTGCACTGC